GGACAGTGAGGAAGGTTACCAGAAATTGCAGCAGGATCTTGATCAGCAGGGGAAGTGGGCCAAAAAATGGTGAAAGGTGTTTATGAAAGTTAAGTGTGAGGTGTTGCAAATTGGAAAGTCAAACCAAGGTAGGAGCTTCAAGATGAATGGTAGGGCCTTAAGGTGCGTAGTGGAACAGAGGGACCTTGGAGCTCAGGTGCATGGTTCTCAGAAAGTGGAGTCACAGGTAGACAGCGCAGTGAAGAAAGCTTTTGCCACACTGGCCTTCAGTCAGGGCATTGAGTACAGAAGTTGGGAAGTTATGTTGCTATTGTACAGGACATCAGTGAGGCCGCACTTGGAGTATTGTGTTCAGTTTTGGTCACCTTGTTATTGGAAGGATGTTATTAACCTGGAAAGACTGTAGAGGAGATTTACAAGGATGTTGCCAGGACTCAAGGAACTGAGTTATAGGGAGAGATTGGACAGGCTAGGAGTTTTTCTTTTAATTCATTACAGGATGAGGGCATCACTGGCTAGGCAGCATTTATTGCACAGAGTTCAGAGTCAACCACATTGCTGTGGGTCTGGAGTCACATGTAGGCCAGACCAGAATAGGATAGCAGATTTCCTTCCCTAAAGGGCATGAGTGAACCAGATGGATTCATTAGATTCTTAATTCCAGATATTTTATTGACTTCAAATTCCACCATCTGCTGTGGCAGGATTCGAACCCAGATCCCCAGAACATTATCTGGGTCTCTGGATTAACAGTCCAGTGATAATACCACAAGGCCATCGCCTCCCCACTAAAGGGCTGTTTTCTTTATTGTGTAGGAGACTGAGGGGGTATCTTATAGAAGTGTATAAGATCATGAGAGGCATTGATAGGGTGAACGCACTCAGTCTTTTTCCCAGGGTTGGGGAAATCAAGGACTAGAAGGCATCAGGTTATGGTAAGAGGGGAAAGAATAAACGGGAACCCAAGGGACAAGTTTTTTTTTTTAAAAACACAGAATTTGGTACATATATGAAATCGGCTGCCAGTGGAAGTGGTTGAGGTGGGTACATTAACAACATTTAAAAGGCATTTGGACAAATACGTGGATAGGAAAGGTTTAGAAGGATATGGGCCAAGTGCAGGGAAACGGGTTAGCGTGGATGGACATTTTGGTCGGCATGGACCAGTTTGGGCCGAAGAGCCTGTCTCCATGCTTTAGGACTCTATGACTCTAAGTCTTCAGTATTATTGCCAGAATGCTGTCAGGGTCCATAACCATAAACTTATTAAATGCTTTGGGTTTTCCTTAATCCTACCCGCCAGAGATATTTTGTGGCTCCTCTTTGCTCTCAATTTCTTTTTTTAAGCAACCTCTACACATTCTGTATTTCTGAAGGGCCTCCCTGTTTTTAATGCTCTTTATTAACATAGGTACTTCTTTTTCTTTCTCAAAATCTTGATATCCTTTGACACCCAGGGTCCCTTGGACTTGCTGCCCACTCCTATTTCCTAGTTTGGTCAGCATGAACTTGCTGAGTTTCAGGTTTTGAGAGGGTCATTCTTAGCACTTTCATGTTATTGGTGCTGAATTCCTAAATCACAACAGCAAGATCAATTAACATGCACAGCTTGAGATATATGGTCACTTTTATTAAAAATTCATTCACGGGATGTGGACATTGCTAGTTGCCCAGAAGGCAATTAAGAGTCAACAACATTTCTGTGGGTTTGGAATCACACGTAGTCCAGACCAGGTAAGGATGGCAGATTTCCTTCCCTGAAGGACAATGATTTATATCACATTAATGAGCGTTCCCCACAAAGTCTGCATGATATGCAAATACAGAAAAGGCAGCAAAATCTTAAAACATGAGATGAATTCAATAATACAAGTGTTGAAGAGAAAGTTTGTGGACTTAACATCAACTCAAATCAGGTACCATCAGAAATTCAACCTGGAGGTCATCGAATAATTGCTTACCAATTCATTTTACCTTCTAATTCAATGGCTTTGGATCTACAATAAAGATTCTCAATTAAAAAGTACATGCATAAGATAAAGATGTTGACCTCAAAAGTTAGATGGTGTTTTCAGAATCTCATAAGGCATACAGTAAACAAATCCAGAAACAATCTGGAATTAAGAGTCTCATCTAATGATAGCCATGAAACCAGTCGCCGGAAAAACCCACCTGCTTCACCAATGTCCATTAGGGAAAGAAACTGCCATCCTTACCTGGTCTGGACTACACGCAACTCTAGACACACAGCAGTGTGGTTGACTCTCAGGGATGGGCAATAAATGCAGGCCTAGCCAGTGACGCAATCATCCTGTTAATGAATTTTTTTAAAAATCCACAAAACCTTAAAACCCTGAAAGGTTGGCTACAACAAAGCGAGTTACACAGCTTCTTCACATCATGTGATGCTGCCACCTCTGTACCTTTGTCACATTTCATTGAGCTGATACAGTTAAAAGAGACAGAAGTTAAACATCAGGAGGCAGGAAGGAAAGCAAATAATGCAGAGTTGTAATTTGTAATGCACTGCCTTAATGTGTGGTGGAAGCAGATTTGATAACAAGCTTCAAAAAGGGAACTGGATAAACAATGAGGAAATACTGTGTTCTGAGGAAGGGTCATTGGACCAGAAACATTAAGAACATAACATAAGAACATAAGAACTAGGAGCAGGAGTAGGCCATCTGGCCCCCTCGAGCCTGCCCCGCCATTTAATAAGATCATGGCTGATCTTTTTGAGACTCAGCTCCACTTACCCGCCCGCTCACCATAGCCCTTAATTCCTTTACTGTTCAAAAATTTATCCAGCCTTGCCTTAAAAACATTCAGCGAGGTAGCTTCAACCGCTTCACTGGGCAGGGAATTCCACAGATTCACAACCCTTTGGGTGAAGAAGTTCCTCCTGACATCAGTCCTACATCTGCTTCCCTTTATTTTGAGGCGATGCCCTCTAGTCTTAGTTTCACCTGCTAGCGGAAACAATCTCCCTGCCTCCACCTTATCTATTCCCTTCATAATCTTACATGTTTCTATAAGATCTCCCCTCATTCTTCTGAATTCCAATGAGTATAATCCCAGCCTACTCAGTCTCTCCTCATAATCCAACCCTCTCAACTCTGGAATCAACCGAGTGAATCTCCTCTGCATCCCCTCCTGTGCTAGTATATCCCTTCTCAAGTAAGGAGACCAAAACTGCACACAGTACTCCAGTTGTGGCCTCACCAGGACCCTTTACAGCTGCAGCATAGTCTCCCTGTTTTTAAACTTCATCCCTGATAACTCTGATTTCTCTCCACAGATGCTGCCAGACCTGCTGTACTTTTCCAGCAATTTCTATTTTTGTTTCTCATTTCCAGCATCCACAGTTCTTTCAGTTTTTATTTAGAGAAATATTTTGTTGGGCTATAGGTAAAGGCATTGGTGTGTGGGACTAATTGGACTCCCTTCCAACAAACTGAAGCAGACATGGCCGGCAAAATAACCCCCTTCTGTGCTGCATCATTCTAAGAAAGAAAAAGCATATTCCAGTAACATTTTTATCGTTGGTATACAAGTCACACAACAGTAATGGTCACACCTAGAGTCAATATTTAAACTCCTTGATGAGTTTGAGTGAGTGGGTCAGCTATACACGAGGAAAGGTTTTATAGTTTCTCTATTGTGTTGAAGTAATGGATCTGAACCAATGTTGACTTGGCTCAGTTCTGTTGATTTAGGAATAAGGAAAACACATCACTACAGGCACTGCTTGATCTGTTTCATTTGTCAGAGTCATACAGCACGGAAACAGACTCTTCAGTCCAACTCTTTCACACCAACCAAGTTTTCCAAATTAAACTAGTCCCACTACCCCATGTTTGGACTATATCCCTCTAAACCTTTTCCATTTATGTACCTGTGCTGGTTCACCACGAAGAGGGACATCAACAAACACATGGAGCTAGACCCTATATATACACTCCACTGCAAAGGAAAACCTGATGGGAGGTAATCCAGCTCAACGGACACCAGAATTTAAATACCAGGCAGGAAAACACAACAGCGTTTCATCGGAGGCTGCTATTACCCAGCAGGGTAATAAAACATCTGTGGAACAACAAACCAGCCCAGCGAGCCAACCAACCATAACATCCACAACCGGAGTTACAAATCTACTCAAAAACCTTATAGTCTTTGAGTATGTTTAAATTAGAGATTGACAGATTTCTAATTACGTGCTATATAGGGTTATAGGATGGATGAGCAAAAGGCACTGAAATATTAGATCAGCCATGACTGTATTGAATGGCAAGGCAGGTTTGACAGGCCAAATGGCCTACACTTGTTCCTAGGTCTCTTGTTCCCATGTTTCTTGTTCCTATGACACATAGCCTGGGGAAAATGCTTTCTTGAAATATGAATTCAAGTATACCCAAGTGAAGAGTGAAGAAAAATATTGCCATGGTTCTCATTCCCAATTATTGATCACTCAAGAGGACAGAATTGAGCCTGACAGCAATGCAGTCTATACTAGAGCAGGCCACAGAGGCTCACTGTCAAAACTTGTGAACAAGTATCATGTAGGCCAGAAGATGATTGGTGGCCGAGAGCCATACTGTACTGTAATGTTGATGCATGTCAGCACAAGGGATGGATGGGGATCCGTAATATTTCATGCAAACAGAACATATGATAATCAGTAGCTTGTGATTAACAACTGTAACATTAGTAATAATTCTGCATGTCTGTAGATCCCAATCAAATAGTCCATCTTGATTATTTTGATCACACTTGTATTTCCAAGAACTCAATGACACAAACATGGCCTGCAGAAATGGGTCAAAGGCAGACTGAACTTTATTAATAGTCCTCAAAGTAACACCAACGCATTTCACTTATTTATATCCTACTTGCCCTATCGCACAAGTTATAGTTGCCATTTCAAGTTCTTTCTCAGTCTGTTTCAAGCAAAGGTTTCAAAACATGCTACTGTTTGCTTACAATATCTATCAAACAATTACCTGGTTTGAGAGGTATCTTTTAGGTCCAAGGCAAGGCTGCTATTCACCAGATTTTTCAGACAGCTGGATCCATTACTGGAGAGACTAGTGGAGGACAAACCCACACTCTCCATAATGAAACCCTGCAAGTAGTCAGCTGAGAAGATAGAGAAAAGTAAACTTTAACTTAAGTTTCATGTCAATTACCCCATTTCTTTGTCAAAAATTTACAATCAGCATTTGAGTCTGGGTATGAACAATCCAAGTACTCAGACATGTGTAAATGGGTTTGAAATAGATGAGAAACAGAGCAGCTTACGTCAAGGAAGCAATTTTGGATGTCAAAAAAGCTGTTAAAAATGGAAATATCAGCCTTTCATCAAAACTAAAACAAAATCAACTGAAATAATTGAATAAGTACTCTAATCTATCAGAACTCAACAACCCTCCTTTTCCAATCCACTATAACTAACAGCAAGGCAGAGCACAATCTCTAAGAAGCTTACTACCTTAGAGGGAACACAAGCCCAACCACAATGGTGAGGCAGTTAACATTGAGAACGCTCAAGAGGGCCAGAATTAGAGAGAAGTACAATGACCTCAGAAGCTTGAGGTGCTAGTGGAGATTACAGTGACAGAGTGGTGTGAGGCTATAAAGGATGGTATTCTGGGCTACAGAGGAACTTGGAGTGGGAGGGAAAAGATCCAGCTACCATAGCCCATGTAGGTACCAATCACATCAGTAGTACAGAAGTGTTGTTCCACTAGGATAAGCTTCATTTAAAACCATGCTGGGACCAGTGTCCAGACGAATTACATAACTAGGCTTACAGATAAAGCTTACAACTAATTAGCATGTGTGGTTTCAATTGGTGGGAAGTATAAAAAAGTCAAAAAAACTAGACAGCAGAGACACAGGGCAGTGAAAAAGCAAACAATAATCAAAGCATCACAGAAACTGAAAACTAAAACAGAAGAGTACAGCAGAAATTAGAACCAGAATAAATAATCAGGATAAATAGTTAAACCTTAAGCTCTTTATCTGAATGCACACAGTATTTGTAACAAATAGAATATTTTTAATTTAGCAAATAGAAATAAATGAATATGGCTTGATAGCTATTATATCGACATGGTTACAGAGAACTCATTATTCAAGCACATTCAATGTTCTGGAAAAATAGGCTAAAGGGAAAAGGAGGGAGGGTAGCATTATTAATAAAGATGATATTGGTGTTCTGCTAAGTAATGATATAGATTGTGACATGGAATCAGTTTGAGTGAAAATAAGGAATACCAAAGGAAACTAGTCACTGGTAGTTGTTAATAGGCTCCAAAGAGTTGCCCAACTGTAGAACAAAGTCTTAATCAGGAAATGGTGGATGCAAGGTCACTACAATTCTCATGGGAGATTTTAATCTTAACCTGACTGGACAAAATCAGATGGATAAGGCTAACACAGAAGACAAATTTGTAGAGTGCATCAGGGATTATTTCTTAGAGCAGTATGTAACATTTTTTGCAGCAGCAGCGGGAGCAGTGAGAGCGAGGACTAGGGACCTGCCGGGAGGTAAGTTTCCCAGTTAAAAACTTACCTCGTGCAATCAGCGGCCTCCATTTTTTGCAGCAGCAGCAGCAGCAGCAGCAGCGGGAGTGAGGACCAGGGGGCTGCCAGGAAGGTAAGTTCTTCATTTCGACAGCGGAGCCGAGTGGGAGCGGTCAAATTGCGCTCTCGGAAGTGAGTGAACTGATATATTTGGACAGCGGCTGATGTCCCTGACTCCCACGTGCAGGAAGTGTGTCCAGCTGCAGTTCTTGTTAAACCACATGACGGCTCTGCAGCTGCGTATAGACTCACTTTGGAGCATCCGCGATGCTGAGGAAGTCGTGGATAGCATGTTCAGCAAATTGGTCACACCACAAATTAGGATCGCTGAGGGAGAAAGGAAATGGGTGACCAAAAGGCAGAAAAAAAGCAAGAAGGCAGTGCAGGCGTCCCCTGCGGTCATCTCCTTCCAAAACAGGTATACCGTTTTGGTTACTGTTGGGGGAGATGGCTCACCAGGGGAAGGCAGCAGTAGCCAGGTTCATGGCACCGTGGCTGGCTCTGCTGTACAGAAGGGTGGGAAAAAGTATGGAAGGGCTATAGTCATAGGGGATTCGATTGTAAGGGGAGTAGATAGGCGGTTCTGTGGTTGAAAGCGAGACTCCTGAACGGTATGTTGCCTCCCAGGTGCATGGGTCAGGGATGTCTCTGATCGACTGCAGGACATTCTGAAGGGGGAGAGTAAACAGCCAGCTATCGTGGTGCATATAGGCACCAATGATATAGGTAAAAAATGGGTAGAGGTCCTACAAGCAGAATTTAATGAGTTAGGAGCCAAGTTAAAAAGTAGGACCTCAGAGGTAGTAATCTCAGGATTGCTACCAGTGCCACATGCTAGTCAAAGTAGAAATGAAAGAATAGGCAGGATAAACGAGTGAGCAAAAACAAAGTTGCTGGAAAAGCTCAGCAGGCCTGGCAGCATCTGTGGAGGAGAAAACAGAGTTAACGT